CGAATCTAGTGGTGATATCTTTGTTCGAATGGAATCACTAGATGTCGAGATATCGGGTTCCAAAGTGACAAATTCATTTTTGGAATTTCCGGTAATATATTGTAGCGGTAGTAAACCAATGTTTGATCAATTAGTTGAGGATCACTCCGATCTCTGACTCTTGATCATGCTTATATGCCTGAAGTCCCTGTGAAATATCTTCTCGGGTTACTTGCCTTCCAGAAAGTTGTAATTACGATATTGGAATAAATCGGGTAAAATGTTAAATCCTTCACTGGCTACTCCAAAATCTAATCTTTTCAGCTCTGTTAAGTGGGAAAATATACTAATATTTGCTCCGAATTCTTCACCAGATAATAAATCAACAGCTTTTAGCAAAAAAGTCAAAATTATGTGTCATATCCGTCAAAAATTTCATTCAATATCTTTATCGGGCATCTGTCATTATCCTTGGAATCAGTTATAAATAGGGATGTTAGCAATTTATAGGCAACCGGAGCAAACCCAATTGAAGCTGGAACCGAAATGGTTTGATCCACCAAATTATTAAATCTTAGGACGTACTCCACCGGAGAAAAACCTCCCCAGTCGTTCGAATAAGACTCGAATTCCAAATCGGACCGTGGCGTTGTGCTACAAGTGTGAATATTATATATAAATCAATAAAATTGATGTTTTCGTTAATGTATTATCCAATTTAATTTATATCGACCATTTCGCGTGTCTTATTTTTTCATAAGATACTGCATTTTTGGTTATTATGGTCCAGGAACTCTTAAATCGACAATATGTTTCATGTTAAAAATCCTATCAACTTCTTAACTAAGAAGTAAATACAAAATTTAACCGGTAATATTATAGAAAAGGACTTTCTTGATAATATTACCAATCAAATTTTGTATTTATTTTATAGTTAAGAAGTTAATAAAATTTTTACCATGAAACATATTATTAATTTAAGAGTTTCTGAATTATTTAAACTTTAAATAAAAATATAAACTAATAATTATAATATCTACTAATAATTTTTTTAAAATTACTATGGTGCGCACCATAGTTCAGATTTTGCAAAATTTCTTTTTAATTAAGTTATTGGCTTTTAAAATTAAATACTTTTTTATAAGAGTAAAAAAGTATTTTTTAGCTCTAATTGGTTCAATTTCTTTTTTAAATAACCTATTTATAAAGTAATTATAAGAATCATGAAATGAATATATTATTTAAATTACGACAAATTATATCAAACTTATTTAATAAGTTAAATATGCAAAAATTTCACGAAAAAATTTATCACTCAGAAAAGTGCTTCTATATTCTAATAAAATATATAATAAAATAAAAGATTTTTAGTTTAATAAATAATTTTAATATAATTTTAATATTTTTTTGTATTAATAATTATAATTTAAGTTAGAAATAAGAGTTAAAGTTAAGTTTAAAATTAGAAAAAATTTTATAAACTATCAAACTATTCTTAGAATCATCTTTTTACATTAAAAATTTAATAATAATTATAAAATTTTTACATGGTTATATTTTGATTATAAATTGGACGTGTTATATATTTTTTTGTACAATATAATATAATATAATATGAATTTGATGAGCAATTAGAATTTTTCAGAGATTATTTTTAATTAAAATAATTCAATTTAGCACTGGCTATATCACATGAACAATTCCTAATTGGTTGTATTTCTTCATGCAAAAATACATGATTTGTTTTTCATGCTTTCACATAAAAAATCACGTGAAACATGAATTATCTTACATGTATAATGCACCTGGCTTACAATCAAAATTGGTTATAACGAACTCTAGTTATAAAGAAGTGTAATTAAAACCTCGATATAACGAAGTTTGAATTTTGTAATAACTTAATAGTTCGCTATAAAAAATATAGTAAATCTTTATATAACGAAAATCCCAAAAATAATTACGAACCAATTATCGGTCACCTTCGTAGTTCGCTGAAAATTTTGCAGATCATTACTTATAAATTGAATATGATTGGTCAGATTTAAAAGTGTGATTATTTTTTATATTAATGCTGAAATTTTTAAAAAATGCATTATTTAAATTGTATCTTCTCAATAAAAACTTTAAGATAAATACATTACTTATTTTTTTACATTTAAAGTTCATATAAAAAATCCTTTGCAATTCAAAGTATTTGATTGGACGCGCTATATATTTTAAATGCTACATTTTCATTGGCTTCATGTGACTCGTACCTGCATATCAAATTTCAGGTTTGTACCATACCAGTTTCTCGTAAAGAAGCATTTTCTATTGCAACACAAATTCACAGTTAGCTTAATCTAGAAACTGCTCTTTGTTTCAAAGTTGGAAAGAAAAAAAATAATATGAAATATATTAACGTATTAATATCGAACCAATAACATTTACTACTATTAGTTATATGATTTAAAAATCATGACTTGTTATTGAACCAATAGTATTGTGATTTAACATGGGAAAAGATAAAATATATTTGTGATAAGGCATTGTAATAATAGCAATTGTAATAATAGCAATTGTAATAATGTCATCTAATAGTTTGTTGACTACGAATAGCTAATGAGATAAAATTGTTTCAACTGGTGCAGAACATGGTGCGAAAGGCTCATGTTTTCTCAGAACGAAAATATGGAATTTCCTTACAATACTTCAATTGTCTTCTGTAAAACTACTTGCAATATGTTTGTTGCTTTGAAAGTATTTATAACTTTAAATGATGCATTGTCAAGCTCAAGATGAGCGACGACACTTTGCACGGTCGGTTATATTTTATGTTTTTGTCCCGCACAGAAAAATCGCTGTTGAAATAATGTATATTGCAAAACTTCGTCACAATTTGCCAATACCTTTAACTATCACCCATGAAATATTATCATACCTCATTTGAGACCGGTCTGTGGTCTGAGCATGATACCGGACCGAACTGGACAAAACGGACCATTTAGCATCCATAGATGATGTAATAGCTCTAAAATTGGACAAGCGAACTTCGATTTTTGAACCTGCCTAGTTTTCAAGACAAAACAATATGTAACGTAGTATTTATTGGATTTTGTTCTTATTGTGTTTTGATAAAGTTGGCTTTGACCTTTAAGTTTTTTATTACTGAACGTACGCGACGAGTATTACTTTCCTTTTTTTAATGAATTTACGATGAAAACCAAAAAGCAAATTTGGATTTTATAAAATATAGCTGACGCACATCTTATCATTATTAGAGTTTTTCATTATCGTTATAGCAAGTTTCGATATAGCTAATACATATTTTTGAGAATGGTAATTTTTTTCGTTAAATGCGAATTCATTATATGTAACGAGTTTTGATTGTATTAACGCCGAATGAAGAATACGTACTCAAAAATGCATAACAAAAAATTTCTATTACTAAACGTATTAAACTGATTCCGCTTATCTTGAAACAAATTAAAAAATATAATTTGGATTTTATAAATATTTCTAGATTAATTTCTACAGATTACTCTAATATATGTAAAATAGTCTAATACTGTAAATATACAAAGATACTCTCGATATAACGACCCTACGATATAGTGAAGACTAATTAAACTCTCGATATAGTAAATTGGAATTCAAAACAGCTAGTGAATTTTTTGAAAAATAGTCCGGACAAATTCGTATATATAAGATTCTTTCAACGTAAAAGATTAGTTAGCTTGACCTCAGTTCTGCTTGTTCTATTCGTCGTCGATACCGCTTCCATATAAGTCTCGTTGTCAACGAGGTACTCAGTAGACAAGCGGCAGATGTGAGCCAGAAAACATGAGTATAGCAATTTGCGCCAATGCATTTATGGCGTTGCAGATCCCGATTGAATCCGAATACGAGACTGCAGAGTTGTCCGCCGATTGCGATGGACTTTAATGAGAACACATTATTAGATTAATATTCGATATTTGAAACAATAAATGAAAAAAAGGAATGAAACCCTCTACTTACATAGGATAAAAATCCCCTGGAAAATAAAAATAAATACATGTTATTACAAAATTAGGATCAAGAATAAGTAAAAGCTAAAACCAAACTAAAAAATTTTCTCACCAATTCAAACCAAATCTTCTCAACCCAAACCATTCACTAGCAATGGTAGGCGCAATTCCTAACAAATTACCAAATCCCAATCCAATGAGCATACTTCCAATCCACAATGTCTCCAAATGCGTCGCGAAAAACCCGACGATAATTTGTCCACTTAAAAGTAAAATCGACGCCGACAACATAAACCATATTCGCCGCAAATTAAATGTTTGTTTGGTGAGATCCGAAATAAATCCTGAAGATACGCGACCAATGCACGAGAACACTGAAATCAGAGAAACGTGAAAATTTTGATATTTCAATAGTTTTTCATGATCATCAAACATTAAAGTCGTGTCGAATAAACTTCTCAGTATTGAGCCGACATTGTTGATGTACATTAGTCCAACACCACCTGTGAGTAGTAGAATAAAGAATAAATTTTGTGCGTCGCTGTTGCGGAGTAAATCCGAACCGCTAATGTTTAACTCATCTTTATTATCATTGTTTTCTTGTTGTTGCTCTTGCTTTTTTATATTTTTGAAAAGTAATGGCGTTTGTTCTGTGTCTATTGATTCGCTTTGTTGTACGTTTGTAGTTGGTGCTTCTGGAACTTCATTTGATGATTGAGTTGACGGTTGCGCGACTACATTCAACGCGGCACATCCAACAAGATTACATAAACTTGTACTTATCGCTAGAAATACAAGAAATCTATAAGTTTGATCACCGAAAAACCAAGATTCAATTGTTGAGAATATAAATGCCGAAAGACCAAATAAGGCCAATGGAATTCCGAGTGCTATGCCTCGGATCGCTGGAAAATTCTTTGCCTGTGTTGTTAACACTGCCATAAATCCTATACAAAATATGTGAATTCGAATTGAGATTAGGATTAGATTTAAAGATTTCTTATAAATTGAATATATAAAGCATTTACCTGCTGCTGAAGCCATTCCCGTCAAGAAAAGACAAATTACACAAAGCGAAAAAAGTGGTGGTAGAATGCCATGATAAGTGGATGCCAAACCAAGGAAACTGAAAAACAACGTCACAGAAGCGAATAATGTGGTACTGTTTTTGCAATCGATAATGGTTAGATTCAATCCAGTACAATTCGACTCTAATACTAATCAGACCAATTCCAAATCTCTCCACACTTACATTTTAGGACCATACTTATCCGAAATATGACCGAAAAGTGGATTCGACAAATAACAACCATAATTTGCAGCACTAGCGATCGTATTAATTTGCACCGAAGAAAAATGTAATCGATGTGCTAATGCTGGTCCGTACGCGGCGAATAAATATTGTGTTCCACTTATCGACGATATCAATATCGCTCCGATGAATGAAGAAATTAGAAGCAATGCTCGTGGAGCCATTATATTGTTGATATGATAATATTAGCTAAAATAGATCATAAATATAATAATAACGATGATAGAAAACCCAGCTTATATAAGTTTTTTGGTATGGACAATGATAAATTAAATCTGTAAGATTATATTATTAATCAACATCAGCAAGCGCCACCATCGTCATCTTGTGACTTTTTGTGCACTAAACGATAATCAATACGTACATGTATATTGTTTAAAATCCTAATATAGAAACTGATAGATGTATTAAATTAATGATTGCATCATTTGATTGGTCATACGCTGAAGGCAGTGTTATCGCTTGCTGGATTTGCGTCCAAGCGATAACACTGATTTTGATTGTAATGTGATTGGACGATCTAATCATTAATTTTAACAAGTACGTATTGTAAAAATTGAAGTGTAGGAATCAGTAATTTTAATTCTTATTTGAATGGTAACAGTTATTAATTTCGTAATTATTAAAAAATGTCCATGAGGGTATGGATGAAATCAAAACAACGAGAGGAAACATATGCAATCTTTCGTTCGAAGAGAAACATGTAATCAAATGAATGAATTCTTTCGTTCGAGAAAAGTAAATATTGGATAGAGAAGAAAGAATTCTCCTTAATCACGGGACGCATGCACGTTTTTAGTGACATATTATACACGAGAATTGCCAAATTAAAATAGGGGGTTTAACACACATGAGTCAGGATTGGCAGGCTCACTAATCCAGTAAATTACTGGAATAATAACCATACTCGATATTGTTTATTTCTTATAACAGGATTTTTACGTGATTGTATTTTGATATCCAACCTTGCATGATCAAATATCCCAACAATCAATTAATTTGTTCATTATTCAAATAACAAAATTCGATCATGATGTTTTATCAAAGGAATCTTGTTTTAACTCAAACATTCTCTTTAGAACACAATTTCACCCACGCCTTTACAAATTCAATTCCAAATTCTAACAAATATACAATAATATCAACAACCAGCAAATATATACATGTACAAATCTCAAATCAACTACTAAATCTAATATTATTAGTAAGTTCATAAACAACTACCATCAGCTATGTAAAAGCACTTAAATTATTTTCATTTAACACATCGTGAATTACTATCGCTATATTTTAGCTTCCGCATCATATGCAAACTATTGATTAATTAATTTGTAAAATCGCTTTTTGACCTTACAATTTTTGAATATCTTTCTTTTGAGAATATACAATTATTTTAGAAATTAAGAAATTTATTTCTAATACATTAAATAGAATAGCATTTTCTAAAGATGACAATAAAAAATATAATAGCATTACAAATCTGGTTTTGTATAAATTTAGGTAATACTACAAAATATTAATGATTAAAGGAATAATAATTCAGTAAACATAACTAATGCCTTTATAATAGCTAGATTGCTTAGTATATTTAGTATATCCAGTCAGAACTCGATTTAACAACCATGGGAGTTAACAGCTCTTGTTTCACTATATTGAAATCACGCTCAATTTAATTATCGGCTCGTTCTGCCTAGTCGCAGCACATCATATAAAATCACATGAGCTTAGAGTGTCAAATTTTCAATTACATGATTTTAAAGTATTTTATTATAAATTTGCTTCAAAAATACTATAAGAAATTGTAACAATCTGTGCCAAATTTGTTACTTATCTTATAAAATTTTGGCAACTTCAAACTCTAATAACTTTTAAAAAAAATAAAGTAAATTTCATAAAGCTTTCATTATTTTAAAGCATACATTCTAAAATGAAAACTTTTTCTTCATGTAAAGCTAAATTCACGCTAAATAAGAAAATAAAGACAGTATACTAAAATTGTCGTGAGTAGGCGGAGCGAACTAATAGTATTCTCTCGATTTAGCATATCTTGAAAGATTCATCAGTAAATCGTGCTCTTACTGTAATAAATAAAAAAGTTCCAATATTAATAAAACTAAAATTCTTATATTTGATTATATAGTACTTATATTATAAATTTCGTATATAGGAAGTTTTTAAATAGTTAAAATCGAGTATATCAAATACGATATCCGGTGTATACAGCGTCGTTGTAAAGAACTTTAACTGTATAATAAATTATTAATATAATAAAAAGAATAATTTGCATTTTATAAATAAAGATTAATTTATATAAAAACTCAATAGAATTGATATAAAATGAAATATTACGAAATTATTTAAATTTTTGAGTAAAACGTTAGAAGTCAAATTCAAAAATTTGACTTTAGTTCATATACTTATAGTATAGTAGGGAGCATCAAATTTAGTGACATCAAGCCAGACATTATAATTCAAAAAGAAATAGTACAAAAAATAATTTAATTTAATCAAATAACTTGACTAAATTTCTTCTAGTTAAAGTTTGACTGGTTATATATGATCAGTGAACAAAATTATTATGTAATTAACAGCATAACCCAATACCCTAAAATGATTTTATTATATTGTTACTTCTTCAATTTTTTATTATAAATTAACTTAGCCAAAATATTCTTTGATATACAGTCAAACCCCTCTATAGTCACCACCCTCAAAAAAGCAAAATTTAGTGACTATAGAGGGGATGTGACTATAGAGATTTTTTTACTATGTTTATGTATAAATGGGAAAGCAAAATAGAGTGACTATAGAGGAGTGTGACTATAAACAGGTGTGACTAGAAGGGTTTGATTGTAGTTACAATTTGGCTAGAACAGTTTTTCAAAATATTCATTCGATTAAAAGTTATAGCAATTTAAAGTTGACAAGTTGTTTTTCATAATTTAACCAGCGCTACAAAAAATTAGCGTAGTGTTAGCCCGAATTAGTATAATGCCTGCATTACGGTCCGAATTGTAATTATCATAATACTGGTCCAAATTGCCATACTTCTACATTTATATTTGAATATTTATTACATGACACGTGTACTGTTTACATTGCATATTAAAATTTGGCCCGCGGGGCGGGGATGTTTGTTTATGATGTATTATAAATCACATGAAAATAGAAAGCTCTGATTGGTCATATTAATTATTATATAATCGGCGATTTCAAAATTGGCCAATTGGCGCAGCATTTGATGTCGAAATCTAATCTAAAAGTATAAAATTGAAAATTAAAATGAAAAAATATTCTGTTAATTTTATTTATTTAAGGTATAAATTATTATTTAGCTATTTTGTATTTATTTAATTGTTTCACAGTAAAAACAAGTTCTTTGAAATAACACCATGAATAATTAAATTCATAAAATACTTAAAGATCAATTTCTATGAAAGAAAAGAATGTTATCTTCTTTTTAATAAACTTTGAAACTAACTGTCAGAATAGACTGGAGCGCGAAATCCTTTGAAGTCAGTAAATGCAGTACATGTCATACAGCGTTTTTCAAATTGTTTTGAGATATCAGAACAGAATAATAACAATAACCAACGAGACCTTATCAAACATCAAATCACAGCAAGTGACAGAAAATAATACAGTCAAACCTAGATATAACGAACCTGGATATACGAAACATTAATTAAACCTGGATAAACTGAAGTTGGTTCTGAGAACAGTTATAGTAAATTCCCCTTGATAAACCCGAATTTACTAAATAAACCTCGACGAACCGAATTTTACAGAATTGTTTAATAACAGTCCGAATTATCGAATTTAACCTTTTCAAAGCTCGTTTTTAGATAGAGATCTCTCACTTGTCTAAAATTATAAATTTTGCAATATTCTCTTTCTAAAATGTTTGGCTCATTATCTTTATTCATTGATGTAAATCTGACCGGAGTCTGGGAATAATGCTTGCTTTAATTATAATAATACATATAACATAATGAATCTTTCTCTATTAAAAAATAACTCAAAATGTATGCCAGACAGACATACTATGTATGAATGCTATGCATGCAACTCAAATATAAAAAACAAGTTAATTCTGTGTTTTGATTGCATACATATAGCTCACATATGCAGAAATTAGAAAAGAATCGAATAACATTTGACCATTGAGCCCAATGCACATATATTTCAATCTACTTTGTGGTTGATGTAGCATGACGAAAAAAATAAATCGGGACCCATTCTTCTTTTTCGTATTGTTTTGCATTTATAGGATATAATCAACCATTTTTTTGGGATTCTTTAATTAAAAACTAAAGCTTAAAGAAAGAAATATTTTTTTCCGTTTTTTTTTTTTTTTTTTAAAAAAAATACTGGTATTCTCTAACTATTTTTCCTCGTGCATTACACGCGCGATAAGTGAATAACTTCTCTATCTATTGTTTTTCTCGTGCATTACACGCAATACGTGAATAATATTAAACTCCAAAGAATTGTTTGTTCATACAAGAATTTAGCGTATGATAGTGGTTTAATAAGATAATAATACAAAAGATTGATGATTGTTTTGATTGATTCTTCAAACCGACACATCATGAAAAGTTCTTTACTGTAGAAAAGGAAAAGCTGTAATGCTACACGCACGCTATTCTCACAGGATAATAGGAAAAAAAACAAATCAAACAATACAAAAATGCTCATTCTTTTTCCAAGGTTTGCCAAAAGCTTAATTGTTATGTTACTATATCGTTATATAGTTTGTTTTAATTCAAGTTTTTTCTTCAAATTTTTATTGTTGTTATTCTATTCGTTGACTCAAAAATTCAATCAATAAATTTAATCGACTCGAGGAATAAATGAAACCATTTTAAACCTTTTACAATAAAAGGTAAATTTCATTTTACTACTGCACAACATTGTATCACTACTTTATAAGTCTATAAGTTAGTATTTGCAAGCTCCACACCTGATATATTCGAAACGAATGCAGGAGGAGAGGATTGCCTTATTGCAGCCTTACTACGTTGCATATCATTTCATATCTCTATATTTATAAAGAAGTTAAATGGCACACCATCTTAAACACGGAGAAATTTACACGAAAGGTTAAATTTATCAAAACGATTAATTCGTAAGCTCATGTACATTAATGAAAGTTAAATTAGAATTTCTCTTTAAAAATAGATGCTATTGATTTTTATTCGTTTCGGGAAACTTGAATATTAAGCCATACAAACAATTTTTTTGGTTTTCATAACTCGGCCGGTCATCAGTTTATGAAATTTAAATTTTGAGGCGCAGTCTAATATTGTATTGTAAAAAGCATCAAAGTATAAAAATCGATTAGTTTTTTAGTCCGGTAACTTCAGGACGCGATGTTTCGCGATTCAGCAAACGGATCGAAGCGATCTAATTATTATTAGATTTGCCTTAACTAGACAAATTGACTGATGATAAGATCGCTTCGATCCGATCATTGGATCGCGAGATATCGCGTCCCGACTAAAAAATTAATTTCATCAAAAATCGATGAACAAGCTAGGTCGCCGGGTCATTTTACATAGTCATGTGCTGATTCTTTGGTAATTATGTAATACTTAATTCTAGGTTATTTTTTCTATTGCTGTTTCATACCTTACTATAGAATTTGAATAAAAACATAAATTATACAAATCATGTTTCCTCATCTTCAGTTGTAAGAGAAACTTAATCAAAAGGATCTTTCTGATTTTTCTATAAATTCAATGAATTCATGTTGAAGTATTCTTAATATTGAAATTATTGACCTTTTCCTGATTTAATTCTAAAACAATGGATAATCTACAGTAAGAGCCGTGAGATATATAAGTTTACTATAGAGCTCACCCCTCCCCAGGTAAGATATTTGAAGCATGTAACTCTATATATGACATAAGACATAGCACACTGTTAGTACCTAAGTAGATGTCAGGTCCTCTTGTATACCTCCCTATTTCTAAATGATATCACGCATTATCGATAATAAAGATTTTGTTCATCTATTGGTTGCATGATATCACGCATTATCGAAAATAAAGATTTAATTCATCTAATATCTACTTTTGATTTCCAATTGGTTATTTTTGTAACACAGTAATACGTCCAATTGGGTAAATTCATCCATGGTGGACCGCATACGTAATTGGTAAAACTGATAACCAAAATCATTGGTGTTTTTGAAGATTTATTGAAATTATAACAGACACCAATACTTATTGCAGCCAAAATTTCACATAGAAGAATCCTTAATTATTTAAGTACCAACCTTCGAAACTAATTTCTTGTCAAAGTATAATTAATATCCTGCATATGATAAGACCAATCTAATCAATAGAAATAACAAGTCGTTTTAGATAGAAAATGTGGAATAACAATTATGCCCATGCTGGTACAAATATAATCTTAAATTACGTAATGTAAAATCTACGCTTTATCCATCAATTATTTTATGTAGTTAAACCAATAAGCAAAAAAATCATCATCCATACGTAAAAAATATCGCACCGCGTACAAATAAATACTAAATTTTGTCATGTCAAAAAAAATAAACAACACACATGCATAAGTATGCGTATCTGCATACATACATCCAAAATGATTTCATATTCGGTGTTGTGTGGCGATATTTGTACCCGTGCGAGATATTTAACTTTTCTAGGCGGCTTTAGTGAGATAGTGTGTCATTAAGCCGTCAATGTACATAATGCTAACGCAAGTTACCTTCTCGAATAATACATGCACAGTTGACTCTCTTTATAGTAAAGTGTCCGTTCGATTATAAAGCGAGGATTTATTATAAACTCAAATTTACTATAGCGAAACTTCATTACAAAGACTTTATTATAGAGAGTCAACTGTTCCATGATTTTTTCTTTGCCATAGGAATGTGTTAATAGAAAAGAGATAAAGCTCTACATGCTTATTTATATTTGTCAAAATGTATCCGTGAAATAAAGAGAAAAAAAGCGGTCAATTCCGATCGTCAATTACAATTCAAAATTCCAAATCCAGGAATAAAACAAAAGGATTTACTGCCGTTAAACAACCATTATTTCTCAGATGAACTTCTATATAGCAAAAGGAAAAACCAAAGAGCAAGATAATGATGTCATTATTCTGTCTTTCCGACCATATCAAGTCAAATTATACATATTCTATAAGTTCTATTTATAATCTTATTCAAGTTTATATCGGATACAATGATGATGAGTATGCCCAGTTTCTGATTATCATACGTCAAAGTACAAATAAGTAAAACTAATCCTTTTATAAAAATAGGTTTTTCTCATTGATTTACCTCAATTGTGTAACAACTTAAAGAGGCGGCGAATTTAAATTAACCGCAGCCGATAATAATAAAGGAATCCGGATTAATTTCTGGTTTGATTGAATGGCGTAGCATTTTACGGCCGGTGACAGAATAGTAAATAAACAAACTAGTTTTTTACACGAACGCCTCTTTGTGTATCTGTGGCGTGGTGAGGTTTATTTGAACAATATTTGAATCGAATAATAAAATAGTAAAATAATAAAATAGAAAAAATTTACAATGTGCATACGCGCACATATCTTAAAGAGATTATGATAAGAATTCTTGTTACTTTGCATGTGGGGCATGTGCATGCTTATTTTTAGGGGATGGAAAGGGATTGGCATGAGATGATAGAAGTATATACGTAAAGTAAAAATCATAGACACTAAGGCCAAAGAAACGAAGCAAGTTATTTAATGCAATGTAACCACATGTACGATTTACACTGTGCGTTTGAATCCGTCTTGCTATTAGTGCTAGCGAAAAGATGAGTCATGGATTTCAACATATTTCGGTATATTTATTTATTTGTTGATACTCCTGAACTTTGTTTTTTATTGTTGGCGTGGATTTCAAATGACAAGAAAGGAGAGAAAGCGAAAGGATAGTCTTGCATGTGAAATATTTATGCTGTGATTGTTAATAGTCAATTAAAGTTTAATTAAAAGTTAAACTAAAAATCATCGATTTTGGGAGAGAGAACAATGGTTCCCGATTTATTTTCGCTTTATTTACGAGAGTTAACGAAAAGTCTCTTGAAAAAAATGTAATTGTCCAAAGGAGGTAAGTGAGTGACATTATCAAATTTTGACTTCCCCAAATATAAAGAACCTCCAGATCAAGTAAGAAGTTAGCGAATTCCAACCCCACTTGTTTACTTATCTACCTCGAATAATTTCCGACGAATATCAACAAAACAACATACGTATAAAGAATCGAATGGATGACCCCATGCGACCGAGAATAGGGAAGATTTTCCCTTTTCATTGTGTCCTCTCTTTCGCTCGTATGTCTAGTCATAGCAACTCGGGGAATGAATAGTCTCGTGCACTGCTACCAAACTCTGTTTTTACCCTGCATAACAGATCAATAATAAGAGGAGCTAAGCCGCCTCTTCCTCCACTTCGCTAAATTTGTCTCGAGGCTTATTCTTTGTTTCTTTTTGTTGCAATTCAGTCCACGTTGTTGAATTAAGAGTAAATTCAGCCACCCGAATATTTATTCCTTAAAAATTAAAGTGATTAATGCGTCCATCCCTGCAACAATGCTTATACTAGTGATCAACACCAAAAACACAGCATAATGGCGTTAAAATAAAACCAGCAACTTACAAAATATGGTCATATTAATTATTTAATCATAGCAATTTTCAGTGTCTTTTACAGACCACGATCTAAAATACGTTTCAGAATCCCTTCCTTTCGCTTTCACCCACCTCATTCATCATCTTTTAATTATCCTTAATTCTCTTGCATTCATTCATCCTGATAGCGAATCTGAATGGAAATTTTCGTTCTTGAAACAAAACAATGCTTGTGTGAGCAGTCGTTCGTATTTTTAGTTTTTTTTGTATCACATGGATAGGAAAAAATAGATCAAAAACGAAATGTTTGATATTCATGTTTGATACAAAAATGTGGTACTACTACTACAAGACCATAACCGGCAAGAAAACAAAATGAATTGATGCTGGTAAATTACTACTTTACGTAAAATCCGCACATTGTCCTTGTCTTAACACGCACACTCTTTTCACGAGACGGATTGCTCGATCGAGACAAACTGGTGGAAATAAAGAAGATATTCTTTATACCCCGTAAATTTCCAAACAAACAATCGAACTCGCATCTTTTTCACAATTCATGGACAGGCGAGATTTTTAAACAATCGAAAATTTTTTCAACAATAATTAATTTGACACGTTAAAATTTGATTTTTTTGGAAGCGTGCTCGTTTTTTTTTTTGTTATTCCCAATTGGGAATCAAAGAACGCATACAAAGATCCCGGAAAACTAGATGTTGATTCAATCGTTTTTCTTTTTTTCTTCTTCAAAGAATGTGTGTGTAATGTACACGTACAGAACTTTACATCATTCATTCACATCAACGTTTAATTCTTTATAGTCATGCTTTAGTCATGTCATGTATACAATATTTATAGTTTTGTATGGTCTTTCTAAAATCCATTATTTGCCATTGTTAGTAGTAATTTAACAACAAAAAAAAGGCACAAAAATAAACAACAAAGACAATTCATTATTCGCAAACCAGTTATTGTCATTTCCTGCGGTTATTTATTCTCAAAAAAGAAAAATAACGCGAGAATTAAAGATTTTTATTAATAGTCATTAATAATCCGTATACACGATCAACGCGTATAGACAAATCGGCTACCCTAAAAACTAACTAACTAAAGACCAAATTCAACAGACCAAAAAAAAAAACAGAATGAATATGTGGATGAATAGAATGAAATAAAATGATGAAATGAAATGAAATGTAAAAAAGCGCGTTTTTTCTTATTTGTTTGGAAGATTGATGTCTATATCTTTGTAAATGCTTATATTTTTGGATGTTAATGAAGTGGATGAATGCGTGCGTGTGAAAATGAAATGCTATATATTTATTGTTGTTGAAATGTCTATGTCTAAAAAGAAAAGGGAAGAAACATCTATTATCTATTATATTATACAATCTATAATGTGATTTATATGTATGTATGTATGTATGTATGTATGTATGAACATGTATGTATTTGTCTTTGCATAGAAGTTTTTTGGTGGTATTGTCCTTTAGATGTAAGAATGTGTGTTTTTGTGTGTGGAGATTGATTTCGCGAAGTTAAGAATTTTTTGACGCGGGGGATGTAAAAGGTGATGATTTCAGAAAGGAGTTTCGGATCGGAAAGTTGATGAAGCGTTTAACAGAACAAAAGAATGATTATTAAATCGCGAATTCGAAGTGTTTGTCTGGGGAGAAGGAAAGGAGGAAGACTGATTGGTCGATGGACTGTGGCCGAGAGCGGGAATTCAAAAAAAAGATCACGAAAAATTAATCTCGCACTTTTCGTTTCATTTATCGCGTGTAATTTGTCGTAGCGTTGTATCGCATTTATTCAGTCTCCGTCGACCAACCAAATCAGCTTGTAAGTCTCCCCACCCACCAAAAAGAAGCTAAGGTATTATATTATAAGTAAAGTAATAATATGCGAAATTTATTATATTAATTAATATTATATTATAATAATAGGTAATAATGATATGTACAGAAGAGAAACCAAATCTAATAATGCTGAAAAGTCTATGAGTATTTATATGATTGAATGATGTCTATAGAAAAAACGCGCGAAAGTATGAACAGAATGAAAATGAAGAATGATGATGATGATGATGATGATGATGATGATGATGATGAACAGATGAACAGAATATGCAAGAAAAATGATAAGAAATGATAAAAAAAAAATGAAAAAAATTGAACACGAACAGAACAGAACAGAACGAGACAGAACGAAACGAAACAGAACGGAATAAAATGAAAAAATATAAAAAAAACGAGGACACCAGTTCCTAATTTAATAATCATCTCGGAAATTTGAGTTTTTTTAATTATGATTAAAAAAACATCTGATGATATTTACAAAGAAACAACTAAAGTTGAATTTGGCACCGAAAAGAATAAAACTAATCAATAAATCGGGAAACCCAAAAACTAAAATGATAAAATGTATTTGAAGAGAAAGAATAATGTTTTTTAAATAATTAATCGGTTGTTGTTGTTATTGACTCGTTCCTCATTTGTTAGCGCGTTATTTTGTTGTCATGGTAATTGTTGTTATATGCTCGACGAAAATACTCATTTCATTAATCTTTTTACGCGTCGTCGAAAGCAATAATAATAGTAATACCAATACAGATCCAATACTAAAGCCAACAACTCATCAGCCAATCAACTCTTTCTCTTTAGTTTTCGTTTCCTTACTCTCAACATATAGATATATATATGTGTGTGTGTGTGTGTGTTGGGGGGGGGGGGGTGTAGAGCTAAGTGATAATAATATAAACTCGGCAAGTATTGTCCAGAGATTAATAATATAATGATAATAATAATAATAATAATATGATGGTTATGATGATAAGAATGATAAGAATAACTATGCCAAATGCCAGCCCCAAAAAGAAAAAATATACAAGTGGTGATTTTCGTTAGTTTTTTGTGTGGTGATGGAGAATTGACTTTATACAAGATTTTTTAAAGTGAAAGGGTTTTTTTTAAAGTATGGCAAAGGATGATTTCGTTTTCTCTCGTTTTGATTTTTTAGTATTTAACGAAAAGTCCTACCAACTTTAACCCAAGTCAATCTCGCCCACAGCACAAATCCAGTAACACTTCGGGAAGGACTATATGAGGACGACGACTGATAACTATTATATTTTCTTTTCTTCTCATTCTTTGCAGGTGTGTTATGTTGCTGGCAATGACAATTGCGATGATGATGATGCGCGTGCACATGCTCACTTGTATGTCCATGACTACTTCGTCGTCGTGTTCGCTTTTTATTTTGCAAAGTTGGAGCTCCGTAAAATCCCGAATTAGAATTGTATGAGAACGAATTCTGGTACACTATTGGTATACTATTGTTATTGTGATGTGAATTTATCTCCTCTTCAACTGAAAATGAACTGCGTCTTGATGATGCTATTGATGGGCTGGCTATCTCGTAATCTTCATCATCAAAGTCGTAATCACTTGCGGAGCTGTTATAGTGGTATGATTTTTGTGAGGAGGATTTTGAAGATTTTTTGAATGGATTGTGGATTTTGTGATTTCTTGTGAATAACATTTTTGATTGATTTTTTTCGTAAAGTTTCGTCAAATTTTTGATCTCAGTTTTTAATAGAAAATATTGAGTAACAGTTGTAGTTGTTGTTGTTGTTGTTGACTTTAAACAAAAGTTCTTGATGCTGCTATTGCGATTTATTTAATAATAATGACAAAGGGGGGGATCGTATAATAATAAATCGAACTAATCCTCTTTGTGTGAAAAAAGAAAGATAGGAGAGGAGCAGATAAGAGGAATCAGTGGCATTATATAGAGATTTTTTTACTGTATTTAAAATATATTATGTATTATGTATGCAATATCTAGTATTATTAATAATATCAATAAGATCACTAATTAACCAATCAATTAAATAAGTAATAAAATGTAAAATAAATAAATTGCGGCGTATACATTAGAATCATATACATGTATTAGAAACATATCGTTCCTTTTTTTGGATCAATCAGTGACAAGAACGCTATCATTATTACTATTATTACTATTATATAATTACATACTATCTTATTCTATTTATTTATGTTACATACATGTGTGTTGAAAAAAACCAAACCACAATGAAAACATAAGCAACAACGATTGCAGCGGTGGCGAATCCTACATTTATTTACATCAGCATGTTTATTATTTATACGTACATACATATGTATATATAAATATATATATAAAATACAGTACCTACTAATGATAATATGTTCATACTATCTCAAACTTTCTTGGTAAATTTAATATTAAAAGCATTATGGACAGAATGTGAATCATAATGTGGATGTTTGTTCATCTTCTAGAGTAGATGTTGAGATAACTCGGTAATGTTTTCGAGTTATTTTCCAAAATGTTCTCCGATTATATGAAAGATAACTCATACTTTTTTTATATATCTATAGAAATGTCAATTAATACGATTTGTGCCCGATAGAATGATAAATAGACAGATGAATCGAGACAGACAAATGAACAAAAAAAAAGACGAGATTATGATAATAATAATGATGGCAAAAATCAATTCATCAATACAAAAAGGACAATCTGGATGTGAGTGTATCAGGTGGATAATAATTAAGAGTTTTACGTGTCGTTACTATATCATTATGTAAATGTTATTTTTAAATTGTCCACGCGAGTGACGCAACATGATAAATAATGTTTAGTTCCTATGTGATTACATTATTAGTTCCGATGTGATTACATTATTTATTGTTATGCTACCATTACTGATGGTAAAACCAATCAGGAATTATATTGAATTTATGACAATCATAATGTTAGTCCGATATTACATGTATTTGATTTGTTCACTAACTGTGTGGGATACGGAGACAATTGATACTTAATTTTTCAAAGTTACTGGTGTATTTTTGTTGAAATTTGGCACTGAATTTTGTTTTGTACGATTTCCAAAAAGTATTCTTCACGATCAAACAAATCGATTTTTCTCCATTTTAATTGTTTAATTGTATCCGAATAATGAACAAGAGATGTCTGATAATGTTAATTGAACACCGAGAAACCATCGACAATCAAGAACAATAACGTGAAAAATCCTGTTCTATACTCTCGAGAGATTACTAGAATATTCTTGTAGTTGAATGGCTTGCATCGAATGGTTACGAAACCCGAATTCGAAATTTTGACAACTCGCCTTGAAGTAAACAATACTGGGCATTGTTTGATGCTCTCGTTTTTAATTTTGGCCTGGCTGGCCTAAATTAAGACGTGAATACGAGCAAGCGGGCAAGGTTCCAGAGCAGATGATTAGTAGTTTGTTTATCTAGACGCAACTTTCCCTGAATGTCTGTGTGAAAAAGTGTAAGCAAACGTAAAAAGCACTAACACTATTTTATGTTACTTACATGTGTATGACACTCTCTTTCCGTCTATGTGTCATTAATAAAAATGTGCGTGCGTGTGTGAGAGAAATGAAGTACACATGCTTTACAAATTAATCTGTCAACGAAGACCTTCTCCTCTGCACAGAAAAAATCAAAAGAATTTTGAAGAGTACATTCTCGCGCCAAGGCATTGTTATGAATCATGTGATTGCATTTTGATTGTTCCTTAAGATTTTGCTCTTTCCTGAAAAACACACGTGAAACGCGTTAAAAAAATCACTAGCTTTGAATGGTGTGTGCGAGTCATGGATTGACAAAGGTCCAAACAACAGAACTCATTATTGTTTTTGTTTTGTTTGATTTTATTTTATTTCAAATTTGTATGATCGATTCATAACCTCGTGGATAAAAATCTACAACAAATACAAACTATGCATGCACTCTATATTACATTACCGGTCTACAACAAAACCAACAACAAATAATATATGATCCCTGAAACGGCACTAAAAACATATACTAATAGATGTGCATGCTCGCAACACGCATTTTTCCCATTTTTAGTAATAATTTTTTATTTATCACTTAGTATTATTGTTATTTATAGAAATTATTCTGATCGATTTAATCCATATCCATTTCTCAGTTATTTTACTATTCTCACAATCTATTATCCAACGGTCAAACAATATCCAGGTTACTGAAATCTGTTTCTAATGTAAATGCGTGTGTATAATCTCGGCGACTTTTATTAACGGATATTACCTACACGTGTACACATAAAGAACGAAATATCTCTGTTTTTTAATGCAAAAATATTCTGAAATGCATGCATATAAAACACCAACAATGATGTCACAATGTCCAAATGCGTATATCCATGAAGGTATAAAATGAATAATACATGCATGTTTATATCGAATCTTGATTTTAGCCAAGAACGCGTCGCGTGCAAAAAATTTAACTTAGTTAACGAATTAAATGCCTGTCAACTCACCAATAAAATCACGGACAAGTTCGAATATTTACTAGTAGCGAAATTTCGTGGCACAAAGTTAACAATCACCTCCCCAAACAATAGTCTTGTTAATCGAAGGACGTATCTAAACAAAAATGCGTTTCTCGATTATTTGAATGACATCACAGAAATAATCGAATTGGAATTCTCATATTCACAAATTCGGATTATGATTCATTTTGTCGTGATAATGTATTTATCACTGGAATTTCCAAGTGTTTTAAATATCAGAGATAATATTTTGGTCAAAGTCTCTTTATTCTATTAAAGTTTTATATATCTGTAACGTTTCGAAATTCATTTTATGTAAATGAAATGAAGATTAAAATGGAAATTTTCGGAAATAATAAAATAGTGTGCATCGTATAAAAAAGGCATTTTAATTACTAATATCGTCAATGATTTACGCGCAAATGCATCGCACGGACATATAGTATTATATCCACATGAATTACCCCACATGTGAATCGGAAATGAGATTCACTACGTATATCGATATTGTCAAACAAGTTATACTTCGTCTTTATTTCCAATACAAAACTTATTAGCGGTATCTTTTTTCCTAGAATGCTTTTTACCGAGTAATGTCGTGTAAATTATACAAATAATTTTTTCAAATTAAGATTTGATGACTCATGATACAGGAAAAATACACGTAGTGAATGTGATTGTCATATTCAAATTCATATAAATAGCACGAGATTTATCATGAGCTAATATTCAAAGATCCCGTTGCTTAATAATGAATATTTGAAACTTTCGTTCATGTATGAATTTTCAAACCCAATCAATTTCGAAAACGTTCGTTCCGAAAATGGAAACATATTACATAATAAAAATAGCAAATATCATTGGATAATACTCAAAATATGATGGTTTAGGTCTTACCTCCTATGTGTATGCATGTTCTGTATGGTTTTTTCCCTTTAGTACCGATTATATCCAATGAAAAAACTTAAAGAGTGAGATGTAGATGAACCATTGTGATGATATAATTGCCGTTACAGACTACTATTGGTAAAGTAAAATCAAAATACGCATATATACGCGTTATAAAAATAACTATTTGATAATACAAAGGAAGATTTCGAAGAAGTAACTAACGTTATTGATGTGTCTAATTTAAATCTAAAGCGAAAATAGAAAAGGGATTTTATCGACCCAATTATCATAGTAAAAACAAAAGTGGCGACAATCCAAATTTAGAAAAATAATGCATATCACTTATTCCTCCTGCTTTTCCAAGAACGCCAAGCTTCCCCAATAAGTTGGAGACATTTAACGCTCATGGCTTTATGCGTAAAAGCCTCTAATATATTTAATTTGTTGTATTCATAAGGAATTTAGAAATTGCGAGTTGAAACTGAAATTGGACTATCCGAAAGTCGTGCAGACGGGAAGGTCGCCGTGTCAGGTGACACAAATTTGTTAACAAGGGGATCAAGTAATCACTCGTTTGAGCTTTGTTCTATCACGAGACTTTATAACAAGGGTTAGATTGCAGTTGCTCAGCTGCACTAAACTTTATTCTTCCTCCTGCATCGTTTCGAAATAAAGTGAGCAAATTTATAGGGAGAGATAATGTCATGAAGTTATCTAAACTTGTTTTTTTTAAAAATTTAAATTATTAATTGCTCCTTCTCTCCTAAAATGTGCCAAATTTTACAGGTTTTTTACGTCATTGATTTTCGAGTATAAACCTAGGGTAAAATTATTTTTTAGGATAACGAAACTTTCGTGACTGTAAATGATGTGGCGCATCGAAAAAATTGATTTCTCAGAAAAACTTCTACCCTGTAGTATAACTATTAATATTAGCCTAAAAAAAATGCCAGGAACAGCAGCACCGCCACAAATATAAATGTATTATTCATCTTGAGCATATCTTCATTTTGCGCAATAAGACTTTTTCTTAATATGGCGTCATTAATGAATTGAGAAGTAGTTAGCCTGTAACTGTCTTCAAAAAGATACGCGTGAAGGTCGATCAGAAAGAAAATTGGATAGAACACAAATAAAACTTGAAAATGAAGCTTACCATAAAAGACTCACTATGACGAAAATCAAAGAATATGCCCAGCTTTATAATCTTTACTAGCTCTGTTAAAATCTTTCTAGAAATATTATTATACACATAGAATGATGCTGTCTGTAAAGTATATAGATGACATTTTTAGTTAGAGAATAATAAACTAAAAGAAGAACTGATACAAAATATAGCGCAAATGGCACAGCACTTGATGGTTATATCATGCGCCAAGGCGTAATCAATGACGTAATACTTTATCAGGTTAGTTGTGGGACAAAAATGTTTCTTTGTGACGTAGTTCTCCATCTATAAATAGTAATGATGAAGGTACAATCAAATATATACGTATATGTTAATATGAGGTATTTTTTTGAAACCAAGAGTAAACAAAATGTAATATCAAAGATGAACTCTTGAAATTTAAGGTCCTGTATTTTTTTTTAGTAAACATGTATATCAAATATTTTGGACAATTTAAAAGGATAATGACAACAAATGAAGCTGAGAAATTCGAGATAATGAAAGAGGAGAAACAAAGGATTATAGAAAAGCTAGAAAGGGCTCAATGGAAAGCTAAAAAATACGTGCACTTGGAGCACACGTGCAATGTAAGGGGCGCTTTGGAATTTGTTCGTTCGCAGGTAATGTTTCGGTACTCATTCGCCTGTTCTTGCCATTCGGTTTTAAATATCAAAGGATTTTCTTTCCCATCTTTCCGTGATAGATTCCATTTATTTCTCAATCCAATTCTATATTGTCAATTCATCTCGAGCAGTACAAATCTATGTTGAATTATGTTCACTACTTGCATGAATGACCTCGTTATTGTATTTGTACATGTCTTTGGAAATTGTTTATTTTTTTATAATAAAAAACTTTAAATCTCAAACCCAGAATGAAAAAAAAACACGTTTGATTGGCTTGCTTGGTGCTACTGGAAGCAATATTATAAGCTTTAAAATAAAATATTATTTGTGAATTAATTATTGTACTCCATGGCCACGCACCATTAGTTTTATGTTGATATGTACATGTATTACGGAAAATATGCTTACAGGTTGGACATATTACAATAAACATCAAGCAGTCGAAGAAATTTATCCGATTTGATGTTTTTTTCATAAATAATAAATGTTTTGTATATGATACCGATACTATTTATTAGTTTGGTGAATTGGGAATAAATAAAAACTTCGAGCGTGGTTATATCTCCCACCTGCTGATAATTTCTTGGTTAAAGCGGAAATATATGTAATAGTTTTTTTTAATAAAAATTCATGGAAATAAATACTTAATTTACCATAATGCAAGCAAGACCTTTTCTGTATAGTTAGATGAAATTTTTTACAGAAAATAATCTCTTACTCTTGGTTGAAAAAGGAATGATATCAAGATTTTAAACTAATAAGATAGCTAAAGCAATGCATGAAATTTACTTCTTTAAAAAACGACTGTTTGTTTTACTCGTTTTTTATGAAACGGAAATAAAAACATCATATTCGCCGCAGCAAAATTTTTAATTTCATAGTAGAAAATGGTTCTATTTATTTTAATGCAAGTATTTTTATTATTGTTCTTCGATGTAAAAGAGTAAAAGTTGGAACACGCGACGTGACAACCAGTATCCAAATCAATGCCTAAACAATCAAAATTCCTGTCCACCTATTATTTTTAATTTTTTGGCTTCATATTTTTTTTTATTTCGGCACCATTCTTTTCATTACTTCTAATTTCTCGGCTTCCATCATTTTTATTATTTCTAATTTCTCGGTTTCCTTTCTTTCCGCTATTTCTAATTTCTCAGCTTCAAAGCTGACAAATTTTAAGATTAATGCTGTTCTGAACCCTCGGATTGTCAGCTAATTCAGTTAGGTCGATATAATTAGGTACATTATCTTTCTCACTAGGTCCGCTGGATTGGCTAAATTCGAGAGATAAGTTTGAGTGACCGTATGTTCACAGGAATAAATTAACAAAGATTAAAATTGAACAAGATTAATACCTTAGTATACCATTTTTCCGCTTCTTTTGAATGCCCATTCCTGGTTCTTTGTTTTCTTTGTCGCTCTAGTTGTAATAGGAAATTTAGTTAATGATAGTGTTCATTAAGTAGTAATATTTTTGTTAGTAGCACAAACATAAGATTCTATAATAAAGATGCATAGCTGATTCCTTCTCCAGAATTAGTAGACCTTATTCAAAGAAACTTCATTAAATTGCTTTTGTGAACATAGACAAACCAAATAGGCAGTAAATCTTGGGGATCAGTCCTTATGGTGATCTCACAAAGTTAATGCTTTTGTGGACATAGACCAACCACCAAATAGGCAGTTAATCCTGCGGAATCATCCTTATGACATGGCCAAGTACCCTAGCCATGGCAAAAAAGGTGTCGGATTACGTGATGATAAATCAATCCAACTAATAAGAACGCGCAAAAATTCTGCGTAACCAATAGGAATATAGCAAATTTTTGATCAATCCGGCAAAACAAATCCGACACAAGAAAATGAGAAAAGACAAAAATACAAAAAACAGATATCTAAATCTAGCTTGACGCATTATAAAAAATGTCGAGAAGCCAATTTTATATATAACCTTTATATCAGATCTAACCTAACCCTAATACTTGATATCTAATCTTAATTGGATATTTTAATGGACCTATTTCAGATCACATGACCCGACACCTTTTTTTTGCCTTGGCTAGGCTACTAGACATGGCCCGGATGATTTCACAAAGGCGATGCTTTTGTGAACATAGAAAAATCACCAAATAGGTTGTTGATCCTGCAGAATCACCCTTATAGCACAGCGAGGACGATCTCACAAAGGCAACCCAAAGGGTTTGACTACTATTAAAAAACACATCTACCTCATTTCCATTATGGTTTTGTCCTCGTTTACGGCGAGTACACACACGATTTATTTGCGGGTATATTCATAGATACAAATGATAAAAGTCAAAGTGAGAAGAGTGTCACACAAAAGATAAGCTCTGCAGTTGACGCGAAAGTTAAGCTCTGATGTGAAAGATAAACACTGAAGTTTTGATAAGCTCCGATTTTTGTCACGCGTTTAAATTGGATGAAATTGATCACGTAATATTGCATAAACCATTAAGGATATCAACCCGGATGCTACTAGCTCGATATCATCTACAGAAACATACGGCAGTCTACCGACAAAAGTATTGTTCTGTGAAGGATTCTTCGATGAAGTAATCGGTTTCGCTTTGATCAACAAAAATTTGAAAGCTCGAAGTTTAATGATGAATTTATCGAAGATGCTATGTATGTCAACATTTGTCAGACATTGAATTAACTTGCGGGACCGCATTATAACTATTTGAGACGAGACGGGATACTCTTGCCCCTGGCATATCATATTTCAATTCCTTTTATCAGATCTTGCTCCTGGTAATCGAAATCAAGAGAAAATACATTTTAAAAATCAATAATCGACATTTATTTTCAAAAAATTCGATCGTGATTCGGCAAATCTACAACTATATGACGGGTAATATTGTGTACTTTCCACCTATGATTCCCACTGGTTTATACGTCGACCAAAGGAGATGCCAACAGTGCTTTATATTTCAGAAACGCTTTCATTCCAGTCGACTCCCGGGCTGATTAAAAATTTACGCATCCTTATTGGTTTGTGTTTTGGAGAGGTACAACGCTTTATCGCCCAAAAGAAATTTATTTTCCCATTTTTATTCATGCTGCAGCACAATGTCCACTATTATTGCACCTATTACACTTTGGTGTCTTGTTCGAGGAAGTGTATCTGCTTTCAAAGTTACTATTGGAAAGAATAGTCCTCAAGGAAGTTATCAGGGATAAAAATCGAATGAATTCGCTGGGGTTGATCCTGATAGACTCACGCTATAGAGAGTTAACGTTGAATCCAGTCAAAAGGAGAGTTTTAAGCAATGCGATACTTAAACTGTTTAGGTGGTGAGAAATTAGAAAACGCAACAAAATTGGAGAAAATTTTTTAGGTGTCGAAGGAAACAAACTTCGAGTTATCGTTGAAGCAGAAGTGAGCTATAATTAAAAAGAAACCATTATCGAATGTAATAAATTATATAAAACAGATAGAATTCGAAAGAATAGATAATTATTTTAATACGAATGAATTTCTATTAGAAGATATTGTAAGTATATGCCAAGGTATAATAATTATATCATTTTAGGATTGTGGTTGGGGATTTCTTAATAATAGTTCACTAAAGATGACATTGGATATATGCAAGAATCTAAAGTATATAATTATCTATGGAAGTAATCGAATAGCACCTAAGTATACCAGAAAAATGTACAAGTATAAAAATACAAAATTGCGAACGAATAACAGATAAAGTAATAAATCAATTAGTTAGTAAATATCCGAAAATTAAGATTAATAAAGAGCAACCTAAAGTAGTAAACTGCTTTCTATCAAATGAAACAGAAGCTGATCAAACTACGTATAAAAGATATATTTTACGAAATCTAGTTTACGGTAATAGATAAATAAACCATAAAACTCATTTAGGAGATATTTGCCTTTTTTCTCTCATGTTCGAAAAAAGATATATATAGTTATCCAGTCGAAAATAATATATTGATAACTGTAATAATCTAGCTTCGAGTAATGAAATTATGAGAAGGTGGGATAATAAAACTCGTATTAAATAAAACTTATATTATATAAAACAAAATACAAAGTAAGTATAAACCAAGTATGACAGACATTAGTTCAAGTTTAATAAATGAGCGGGACTCAGAGTCATCGATGCAGGATATTACATGGAAAATGATTGAATCATCACAAATTAAAATAATAAAAGAGGCCTTTCGTCTTCGATATAAAAAAGATAGTAAGCTTATTAGTGAATATGCTGGATATGTAAAATCTCCTGCCAAATTCTAATTCTCCAGGTTCGAGTAAATATAAAACAGAATTTTTATAGCTTAATCGAGGTTCATTAAACCCAATAGGTCTTCGATGTTTTACAGATGGATCAGCAATTATTTTTTCACCTTTTAATGCCCTCTTTACAGCTTCATTAGGTGACATATGAATGAATCGAGTGGGAGTATCGTTATAAATATCATCATTAATACGAAGGCCTTTAACCCAAGATCGACATCTCTCAGTTAACGTTAATGGTAAATGAAAATCTACAGCATCTTGACGAATATAGGCATGTTTCTCAAATTCTTGGTGATCACGTTCAGCTATTGATGTGCTACGTTTAGATTTAGCTTGTATAATTTTTACACCATGACTAAGTAATAAATCTCTACATTCGCCTAAGTATTCAGAGCCTTTATCTACAATTAAAACTTTCGGCCATGTAAGATGATTATTAGGATCACCATAAATTGCTTTAAACATTTTAGCTAACGATGCAGAAGACTTATTAGTTAAAGCACAACTTTTACGAAATCTAGTTGCCACATCTTTTATAACACCCCTATGTTTGAAAATTCGATTACCAATTTTATCGAAAGAAAGAGGGGTAAGATCTGATTTATGTACTTCATTTAAATCTTGTATACCATTAAAAGAAGCATATTGAATAAATTTAGGCTTGGGTTTATGAACTAAAAAAGTGATCTGTTTATTTAGCCAATTTTTTATATCGTTTAATGAAAAATTATAACCAACCTTTTTACAGGCATCTCTCATTTTTTCAGCAGTCCGATAATAACCTTCAGGTCGGTAATATATTTTCTGCAATGCAATTTCTCTATCTAAAACATGGGCACTCTGTGGGTCGATGTAAATTACGGGTGAATCAGAGATTCGAAACTTTGTTTCTTGTTCCATTCCTTTCGAGTAATAATAATCTGTAAAAAATAGTCATGGAAGAATTAAGGCAAGTTAACCAGAAACTATATGAAGAACTTGAGCGACTAGCCCAATCAAATAGGAACTATGAACACACAAATTATAGCCTCGAAAGGCAGATAACTATACGCGAAGAAAGAATTCGATCCTTGGAGGAAGAGCTTGAAAGTGTCATATCGCTTTCTAATCAAGAAAAGGAGGATTTACAGAAAGAGATATCAGATCTTAAAAGATCCCTTTATCAAGCTAAAAAGGAAATCAGACAAAAGGATAAAAACCTTATTACTAGAGAAAAGCAGTTAGCCAAGTTTGATGAACGAGAATCAAAGCTCAAAGTACGGATCAAGGAACTAATCACATCTGGAAGAAATTCTCATCAAACTTATAATCAGTTAACAGAAATGACGGATACAATAGAACAACTCCGTAATGAGAATGATAGATTAAGGCAATATCTTACAGAACGAAATAATCAAATAGCTAGGCAAAAAATTCGTATTACAGATTTACACTGCCGAAATTTCGCTATAAGCTTATTACATTATTGTGATACAAATCAAAATTTATATGATATGTTGGAAGTGCCTTCTATGGAAAGAAGTTTTATGTCTGGTTCATCAACAGATGATGAATTAATGACAATAAATATAACGCGTAGCTCAAGTGAGGGATCACAAAATTTATCAAATGAAGGAACAAATTCCTCGGGCAGTAATATATCAGAAGAAATGGCAACAATAGCTGAGTTAGCTGACACTATAGATGGCTATTTGGATAATCCAAGAACAAATAGAACGATCTTATCCAATCAAATAAAAAGAGCAACGCGTCAGATACGTCGTAAATATAACAATTCGCAAGATGATATAATACGTGAACAACGGGCTAGATATGATGCTGAAGGAGAACGAGATTTAATGCAGTTAGCTTATCAAAATGAAGTAAAAGAACGTCGTCGATGGTACTATTCTTATAAAGATAAGCATAGACATGTTATAAACTTACAACAGGATAAATTTACTTTACATTTATTGTTACAACGATATAAAAGGCAGTTAAATACATGTCGTACTGAAAATGGATTATTAGAATATAACCGTGACCGAATTTTTGATAGATATGAAAAATGGAAGAATAAATCTAAAGATGAACGGTAAATAATTTTAAATCAAAATCAAAATATTTTAAATTTACAGCAACAAAATTTAGCACTACAAAATAATAATCAACAAAATCGAATTATGGCAACTAATCAACTACCGACATATTCAGGAGATTTTTTTCCTCTAGGGAAATTATGATTTCTGATAAAAAATTTAATTTTGTACTAAAAATAATTAGAGCTAGTCAATGTTTGAAATCATGAACTCAGGATTCTTTAAAAAATAATTAGACATTTAATTTGTATTTTTTTGCTTTTTCTTTCTTATTTTATTTGAACTTTATATATATTGAATTGTATTTATATATTAAATAATAAATTATATTATATCATAAATATATACTAAATACATACTGAAGCTTGAATGTATATAAACTTTTTTTGAACTGTACCAAATTCATACTTGTACTCATACAAATCTAAAATTTAACATAAACTGAACTAAACTTGCTCTTGTATTGAATTGAACTTGAACTCAAACTTGAATTATACTAAACTTGAACTAAACTTGAACTGAACTTGAATTAAACTTGAACTGAACTTGAACCAAACTTGAACCAAACTTGAACCAAACTTGAATCAAACTCAAACTTGAATCAAACTCAAACTTGAATCAAACTCAAACTAAACTCAAACTAAACTCAAAATATATTCAAACTCAAACCAAACTTTTTGAAGAGTTCAAGAAAGATTCGAAGTTTGAATCAGACTCAAAGCAGACTTTTTGATATTGTTGTGATTAGATATTTTTTATAATCACAAATAATCATTTCACATGATCACTTCACATGATCACGTTGAATGATTATTCCAAATGATCATTCTAACTGATCATTTCAAGTGCTTTGAATGATCATTACAAATAATTATTCCAAATAATCTCAAATGCTGCGAATAATCATTGCAAATGATTATTTCAAATAATCATTTCAAATGCTTCAAATGATCATTCCAAATGATCATTTCAAATGCTTCAAATGATCATTTCAAATAATTATTTTATAATTATCAAATATTTATAAATACAGCTTGTATCTTAGCTTAGAAAAAAAAAGTTTAATTTAAGTTTTTAGTTTTTATTCTTTTGATAATCCTTTAGATAGTATTTTTATAACCTCTCGTTTTAATTGCGAAGTTATTCTTGTATTTGTTTTATAATCTCTCATTACTACTGCAAAGTTATATTATCTTATGCAATTTTGTATTTGACCTCTCGTCTATATTGTGAAGTCAATAATAATATTGAATTAATAAAATTAATAAAAGAAAATTACATCTTACTTGTTTATAAACCAAACTTAAAAGAAATATTCAACTTATTATAAATTGAATTATAAGAGATACACAATTACCTTTGAATCTTTCTGGTCTCATTCTAGCTGACCAACAAAATGAACATATATTACCTATCTTTAAATAACTTAGTAAACTCTCCTAACTTAAAGTTATTTAATACGTTAACTCTCCCATCTGATTCTATTACGTGTACTCTCATGACAGAACTTAAAGTCATATTAAAATGATAACAAATTTTTGGTGCTCTCTCTGTGGAAAAGCAAGTTTTAAAGATATCAATATTGGAAAGGAAAGTTTCAAAGACATCAATATTGAAAAGGAAAGTTTCAAAGACATTAAAAACAATAAATCAATTAATAAACGAATTCTTTGTGAATGAACCACTCAAATAATCAAACTGGATCCAACACAATCAACTAATATAGAAATTGATCAATTATTTGAAGAATTAAAAGATGAAACAAACTTACCAAAAAATCTAAACAAACAGCAATTGAAAGAAATTAAAAACCAATTAGCAAAAGTATTTGTCACAACACGTTTAGAAAATTCAACCAGTAAACCAATTCAACAGCTTGAAGAATTATTATTATATTATTCACCAATAAAAGAACAAGAAATTCAAACTTACTTGTACCATTTGCAACAAGATATCCAAATA